TGAAATTTGTTACATGCACTCCACTAATGCTGTCCGAGTTGTCGCTCCGCGTGCAACAAAATCTTCGAGGGCCTTGAGATATCTTGCACAATATCGAACGCAGATATGCTGGTGTCTCTAAATCAACAAGTTACACCCTTACCTGACAGCACAGTTTTGGAGATTTGGCAGAGAAATCCCACAGAATCAGAATTTATGATAAACACAGTGCAGTATGGATTTATGAGTTAATTTCTTCGATACCTATATTAGATTGCCCATATTAGGCTCTATGGGCTATATGCACGTTAAGCTTATTTGAGTTTAAGTCGATTACTAGCCATTCATTTCATGGTTTCTGACCCTTCATGAGGACGCGTATCAGAAATTTTGGGCTGCCGCCATGGCCTAGAGACAAGCCCGTATACCAAAGGTACAAAAGCCAAAACACAGTGCCATGGCCAGAATAAAAGCTTTTCACCGACCTATCATTGTTACGGTATTCTGATGAACACAAGCATGTTACAATCTCATATGGGAACATGCATGTTTCCCTTGAAATTCGTTCGATAATAAACCTCAAATTCGATATATTAAATATAAGCCCAGAAATCAGTAAAAGTTTGAAATATTAGATCTCCTTAGTAAAGCAGTAGACTTCTTTAAGGTTCCTAAGGGACAACATATTGTAAAATACCACTTACCAATGTCCGATTTTATGACCCACTTTTATTAAGCCCAGTACGATGCGCAATAATTCGGATTGAACAAATAAGACAAAATTAAAATTCTTGCTTTTTATTTACTTTGAATATGTTAAAGTCGATGATCACGAAGTTAAAATCAGGACAGATTTTACAACCCACAACTTGAACCAATAAGCGATTAAGATCATAGTGCCTAGTGTAGAGTGATAACACTCGACTGGCTACATCGCTTATTTTTGTAATGGTAGGCAACCTTTGATCCCGATGAGTTAGTCGTGCGATATGATGCAATAGCGGTCGAATGTTTCTTGCGACCTCTAAGGTTTTGCTCTGTTTCTTAATGCGCGTTGCTTAATTTACTCCCGACATTCCCCGTTGGCTTTTCACATGATCATTATCTTGTCTTAACTGAAGCTGTATTTGCTATCAGAAAGATTAATTACCCTTTCCATTCTTTTCATATGTAATGAACGAATTGATTTCTTAGATTAATGTGCCTTTCGCTCTTTGCTTTGTTTCCTTCCTCTTATTGTCATTCTTATGTTTGACCCAATCTGTTCGCATTATTGTGCTCATCAAATAGTTATATCCAAATCTTCAGTGTATTCGTTCTTAGCTAATGCTTTCTCAAGTTTGTGATAACTGCATTATTTTCTTCAGAATTTTCTTGGTATCGGACATAGTGGGGCCATAGATATTACCTTGAATAATCTAACCAATCGAAAATTGGTTGAGGTGAAGTCGGACCAACAACAGACATGCTTTTTGCCTGTGTTTTACAATGGTGAGAGTATCTCCGGTCAAGTCACTATCTCCTTGAAACGAGGCAGTAAACTAGAGTATCAGGGTATCAAAATAGAGCTTATCGGCTACATTGACTTCTACTCCGATCGAGGGAGTCGAGATGAATTTCTCAATCGAACACAGGAGTTAGCTCGCCCAGGGATTCTCTCTCAGTCATCGACGACCTATCCCTTCCTCTTTGAAAACGTGGAGCTGCCTTTCGAATCATACTCCGGTTCCAATGTTCATCTCAGGTTTGTTGAAGACATTATGTTCGTGTTGATTGTGCAACTGTAGAAGTTGTTCCGATTTTTAGAAGCGAAGTACGGTGATTATTTGACTTTGTCTTGCTCATTATTCTATGCCATATTTAAGCTTCTTTGTACGGATTTGCTGACCTTGGAATTTCGCTTCCATTTTCATTTCACTTGCCATTGGAGTCTTAAGCTGTTCATTCTGCCTGATAAGCTGA